GTTTCTAGCTATGAGGTCACTTGCTGTAGTTTCTAGTCATGAGGTCATGTTCTGTCATTTCAAATGACAGCAGCCATAAAGCCGATGGTTCAACATACACCAGTCAGATATCGTCACAGGGAAGTGCTTTTTCCCACAATGCTTTGCACACTAGGATAAATCCTGTGATACTGGTGGGATGGTACTAAACTACACATCCATTTCCTCTGAGGCTAAAAACTGTGTGCAAGCAATGATTAACAAAAGGTTGTCCATTCGCTTGCCTGTCTGCTTGCCTGTCTCTGTGTGTCTGTGTCTTGGAGCTTCTTCTGAAATAGAACAAAGGCGTCTTGTCCATCACTCCTCAGGTTTTCAGTGTTTGTTGTGAACAAAGGTGTTGGCACCAGAACTTCATTCCAGGTTGTGAAAACACCGCTCCCTAAAACCAGAGTTAGACTGGTTCAACGGGACCAGCTGCAGCTATGATCTGAAGACCAAGAACTGAAGAACAAGTTCTGGTTCTGTCAACCTTCTGCAGGCTGGTCCAGTACGTCAGTGAGAAGAGCTCAGAACCTCAGCTGACAGCAAGGTGCAGACATGGTTGAAGGGACACGATTGATAGTTGGTTTGGAACATGAGATCATTTGAATAAACAGATAATGAACTGAAATACTGTTTACTACAGTTGATCACATTTATGACCTTTAAAATGAGTTTACAGCTTATATAAATATATTTTAATCTTTGGTATCTGGTTGTTCTGTCCTGATGGGTTTAATGTATGTTTTTTTTATTATGGCAACAACTTTGTATTTAACTGTACTTAAGTTCAGGTGTTGGTCTCTTTGGTGGACAGTGGAGAGTTCTTTTCAACAAAATTTTTAGAACTAAAGACCTCGACTGCAACAGGCCAGGGTTTTTTAATGCAGGCAAAAAAAAAAAAACAAGTCTACAGTCCAGACCATGCATTCCTTCTATAGTTTAACCAAATTAAAATAAAGCAAACACCTGCTCCTACCCTGGCTCCTTCAGCTCTGCTATAATACCCACCATGGGTTCCAAAAGCCTCTACCTTCATAAGCACAAAAAATATATTACAACATGGAGTATGAACCTCAACGACTCAAAATAAATTTACTTGAATTTAAAAAAGAAACATTCATTTAATTCATTCAACCTTTTTTATACAGGTTAGTCTCATTGAGCCCTGAGGACTAATTTAGAAGAGAGACCTGTTTTAAACAAAGAACACAGATGAGGTACAGACAGCAATAGAAAATCATCTAAAAAACATAAAATGAAAAGTAAATATAAGAAATTATACAAAAAAATAAAACAAAAGAAGCTACATTATGAAACAATGTAAAATACTAAAAAAAGGAACAAGTCTGTGTTGGTTTTTGCCATGAACTTAGCAGCCGTTTAAAATCCCTAGAGGGTTCAAGGTAGAGAGCTTCAGATTTTTTGCAAGGTGTTCCAGGTTACAGGAGCAGAGTAGGAGAAGGTCCTTTTGAAAACAACTTGGACATCTTTTTGTTCACCAGAGGACATGTCTATTGTTGTCCTGTCCTCCTTTCTTCCTCCCATGCTCTCATTGAGGTGGCAGCTTCTGTTTTTTCCTCTCACATTTGTCCTTCTTCCTGCTCTGCTCTCTGTGTGTCTGAAGCGGCTGGGTCTCATCTCCTGAACATAAATTAAAAAGATTATGGATTTGGTATCGTGGGCGTTCAACTCTATTGATAAGATTTTTTCATCAAAGCGACAAGGTCCTGGAGAACCGGTGTGTCCAGCTGAGACTCACGCTGTGGGGTACGTCATGGATTCGTGGGGAGTGTGGCAGATGATGTGTCTCTCAGTTCTGTCTCAGGAGGATGTTGAAGACGTTTACACATTTGGAATTATGATAGCAGGGACTTTGCTTTTTTGGCATCGGCGGGGCTCTGTTTTATCGACTTTTGAAGAAAACAGCGGCAGCAGTTTCGGCCATGGAAAAGCTTCCGAGTCAGTGTGAAGGTCTGGTCCTCGCTGTGGGAACTTTAAATCGTCTGGTCTACGAGCTTAACCGTAAGGTGGAGGAGATTGAGAATCGCAGGCCACCAGCGGCTTCTGGGACTCGTCAGCGTGGTGGGTTCGACCTTGAAGGAGACTCATAGCATGGATCAGTGGAACGGAATCCCACAATTAGGCATTTTTGGAACAAGAACGCCCAGATGGACTCAAGGCTGAAGAAAAAAGTAATCTCTGCCTGAAGAAAAAACAAGAATCAAGCTTATCTAAATCAGACTCCCGACGGCCTCTGAGACAGGCCGACTGTCAATTTCTCCTGGGACATGAGTTCCAATAAAGTTTATTCTGATTCTGGTTCTGCTCCTTCAGACTAGAGGATGACATTTTTTCGGGAGTACTGCCGGTCACGTGAATCCGGCCGGATTCCGGCGGGACCGGAGTCAACTTTATTATAACTCCCGTTATCGGGACCGGACAGGACGAAAACTTAACGGGAGCAGACGGGAGCGGGAGCCAACATAGGACAAAAAAAGAAATAGGCAAAAAAAATAATAATAATAAATTTCAGACAGGCGGCTGCGCCAACAGCTTCCGGCGCCTTTTCCAGCAGCTACTTCCGGCCGCCTTTTCCAACCTCTTTGTTTACTGTATCAACCAACATCATGGAGGGAGCATACGCCAGCGGAGAAACCGAGAGGGTAAAAAATATTTTGCAACGCAAAGTTAGGAATAATGACGCATCTGTTAGGTTAACAGAACTGTCAGGGAAGGCGCTAATAGTTCAGAACTTTATGAGAGTCGAGTGTGACGGTGTGAAGACGCTCTACGCTGCTTGCAAAACATGTTCAGTTATAATAAAGTACGCCACTGACTCGGGGACGTGTGGTCTGACTCTGAAGAGGCACACTTGCAAGGCTAATTTCGGAACGAATCAGCCAAGCATTTCTTCATTCATTAAACGAAAAGTACCGTCGGGAGTCAAGTCTCGTATGACCAACAAAATAGCCCGCATGTGCGGCGTAGATTTGAGACCATTTGCTGCAGTAGATGGGAAAGGTTTCATCGACGTCATACAGGAGGCAATCGACATCGGAGCAAAGTATGGAAACAACGTTGAGACACAAGACATACTGCCATGTGGACGCACGGTCTCTCGTCATGTTCAAGGAGAATATGATAAAATTTAAAAAATGGTCATGGAAGAGCTCCATCAGGTATGTCTGTCACGCTGCACTATTTTATAGTACAGTACAAACATTTTACCTTGACATCATGCAGTAGTCTAATTATAGATTTCCTAACACTAAATCTGTTTTTCCTCCTCCTTTTAAACTGCTTAATCTCTCAACTATAAATTAGTCATCTGTTTTACATGTAATATACTTTGAGAGCTAATAACAATATACGTAATTCCTTTGGTGCAGATTAGAGACCATGCAATCATGACAGACCTTTGGACAGAGGAGAGGACAAACACACACTACATCACCGTAACAGTCCATTACATCTTGGATGGGAAGATGGTGAACCGTATTCTGGCCACAAGGGAGATGGAGGGTGTCAAATCTAATGAACACATCAGAGGGACTGTGGAGAAAATCCTTCAGGTATCTCACACTCAAATGAGATAATTATCTTTATTTACATGACATATTAGCTTTGTAGAGGTCTAGTATAGAGCTGTATGAATGGGTAAATGAGGCACAGATTGTAGTGTAAAGCGCTTTGAGTGTCTTGAAATAAGACAAAGGCGCTATATAAGTACAGTCCATATGCAATAAATATTGCCAATTAATTCGTAAAATTGGGAAAAGTATGAGAACATGGTGCAGCAATAACAAGAACATGTCACAGAAGGAACAATAGAAAAGACAAATATATATATTTTTCATTCAACCTTTACAGGCTAACCTCATTGAGTCACGAGGACTCGTTTTCAAGAGACCTGTTCCAATCCAGACAGACAGAACATATAAAGTACAGACAACAATAACAGAGAACAATAATAACGATAAACTACAGTAAAAATGCTGTAAAAATACAGTTAAAATAAAAGTAGTGTCTAAAAAAATAAATCAATGTGCCATAAAAAATGTAAAATACTAAAAACAAGAATATATTTGCTTTGAGATTTTTATTGACATTAAGAAATGTTTAAAACCCCTCACAATAAATTAAGGTGGACAACTTCAGTTCCTGCTGAAAGGTGTTCCAGGTTACAGGAGCAGACTAACCTGGGATATAAATCAGTGCATCAGTAAGCGTGTGTCACGGTCCTTCGCTGTACATCAGTCTGTGCCGTGGTAGGCAGCAACTTAGGCAGATTACCATAATATTTTACCTTAATTGCAGATGGAGTTTTCCTTCATTTGATACACAACACATGTGTAATATTTGTAATATGTTTTGTCCTAATGTAGTACTATAAATTTATTGAAAAGTGCTTCGTACAATTACATGACTGTTGATCAATCTGTTTAATGATCATCATATGTCTGGTCTTCTTATTTGCTAAGTTTTTGGTTTGTCTTTGTTTTGTTTTTTTTACCTAACAGGAATTTGGCATCCTGAGCAAGCACACTGTGTTTGTGACAGATAATGGCTCAAACATGATCGCTGCTTTCAAGGATTATGTGCGACTCTCCATAATATCAACTTGATCTTAAAACACGTATTTGACCACTTGGATGAGGACAACCCAGTACACAGCAGCGTCATCAAGCTGTTTAAGGACGCAAAGACCCTGGTCACACATTTCAAAAGGGCAGGGTAAGATACATCAAATCTTGTAATCTCTGCCTGTTGAGGCTGCTTAAATAATCATAAAATATGATAAGTGAAATAAATAAAGAAAAATTGAGGTACTGTAATTTATATTGCAAAGGTCACATTTTCTTGACTTAGTTTCAGTTGTAAAGCTCTTCTTTTTAATAAAATATTTTTTCCAAAAGAAAGGCCAATAAATTGCAATTTTTATAGTCCCTGTAACCCTATTTTGACTTGTGCACGGTCTTCTTTCAATTTTAGGTTACAAAAAGCACTGGACCAGTCACTGAAGCAGGCTGTAGAGACGAGGTGGAACACCAGACTTGCAATGCTCCAGTCAATAAATGATGCTCTCAAGTCTGGTAAGCTGCACGACATCCTGCTTCGCAGAAGCGAGCTCCGTTACCTCAACAACATAGACTGTGACCTTCTTGAGGACGTCGTCCAGCTCCTGAAACCTTTTGATGAGGCTACCAGGCACCTCTCCATCCATCAGGCACCTACTCTTCACCTCGTCCTCCCAACCAAGGCAACCCTGCTGCAGGGTTTGTTGATCCAGGATGGAGATAGTGCAATTGTGAAAGAGGTAATTTAATACTTTGTTTATTTTTATTGTTTAGTTTGATCATTCAAGTAGCTAACAGGAGTTTGGCCCTATTCAGTAACAGTGATAAAGGCAAGAACAGAACTGAGTCTGATGTTGTCCAAAAGAAACATTGTACAAGTTAAATTTGAAATAAATTTAAAACTCCTCCACGCCTATAACAAAGCACAGTGCCTGTCCGCCTGAGAATTTTTTATGTCCCGTAATAATGATGTTGCATACATCATTATCATATCATTGCATGTGTCATCATGTGGTTTCACTCCTCCTCTAGCTGAAAGAGAAGTTGGCCCAGGCAGTGGAGTTGAAATTCAAAATCCACCTGTACCATAAGCTAGCCACAGCTCTCTCTCCTAGCCTGAGGAGTTTCTTGAGGAAAACGCTCTCCGGTCAGGAGTATGAGGAGGTCATCAACACCCTGGCAGCACTCACAGAAACAGCAGGGACAGAGGAGAGAGCGAGAAGCCTTGAGAAGAAACAGGGTGAGTAAAACTAGCATCAACAGAGCACTCACAGCAATTCTAAAATGTAATAACATTTCTTCCTATCATTTATTTAGAGGCATTCATTCACACACACGTCTGTATAATCTAATAGGTAATGTCCAATACAGGTAATGTTCTATAAGAATCTCTTTTTTTGTTTTTTCTCTCCAAAGGTCCACCCCGAGAGGCAGTTCCCAGTCCCACAGAGGTGCACGACTTCTTTTCCTTTTGTGTTGAAAAGCAGCAACAGGAGGGGGACAGTGGGGGTATTTCAGAGTCATGGGGCCGCCAGTTTGTGGTACAGTACATGAGTGACTCTAAGTTGACAGGCTTCCAGTCTCTGCTCAACTTCTGGCATGAGAGGTCTGATGGGCTAGTGCCAGTTGCCAAGAGGCTGCTAGCAATCCCAGCAACAAGCACTCCTTCTGAGCGTAGTTTCAGTGTTGCTGGGAGACTGATTGAGGAGAGGCGTTCCACCCTCAATCCAGAACATGTAGATGAACTTCTGTTCCTACATAGCAACTTATAATGACAACTATTCATATGTGCTGAAGAGTGGGAAAGTAGACTGATATGCACGGTGGCTGACAGACACACAGCAAACAGTTAAAACGTGCTGCAAACACAGGAATGAATCAAATTCCAAAACAAAAAAACAAATGCAACAGAAACAAAAATCTGCAGTCACACAAAATAGATGACACACAATCAAAAAAAAATGCAAAGGAAAAATGCTTCAAATACAAATAACACCAAAACAACTGCTGGTCTGGTCAACAGAACCCTGCAAATACATTACAGCTGAGTGGCAACTGGCCCAAAGTTGGCTTATTTTATGAGTTTAATGTGCACTGAGTAGAGTACTTTTCAGCATTTTCCTTTGCATTCGTTTTTTGGGTTGTATGTTTTATTTTCTGTAATTGCAGGTTTTTTTCTTTCGCTGCATTTTTCTGTTGCATTTGTTTTGTTTTTGTTGTTGTTTTAGAGTTTGCATCATTTATGCGTTTGCAATGCTTTTTAACTGTTAGCTGTGTGTGCAGTAGCTGACTGTTTGCAGCATGTTAGCAGTTTGCACCTGCTGACCACTGTAGTATTACTGTGTGTGTAGTTGTTTGCAGCACATTTGCACCAGTCAACCACCATATATATATGGCAGTTGTATTTTTATTTAGTATTTGCATTATATGCACATTTTTTTTCCTTTTTCAAAAACTCAGGTACAATATGAATGTAATGCCTTTATGCAGTTTTGTTCATTGATGACAGTTTGTTTGGTGCAATTTTTTTGTTTAGTTTTTTATTTAAGCAATTTAAACCATGACAGGAACGTTACTGTCTAAAGGGAAGGAAACAATTGCTCAATAAATTAGTAAAAAGCAACTTCTATTTGTTCTGTTTGGGTTCTTTCATCTAAGGTAGACATGGTGTGACCCATGTACTGGTTTTCATTTTTTGTTTTTACTGTAACTGACCTTCAAAAAAGCCAGAAACAGGGACTCAGCAGCTGATCCTCTGTAGAAAAACTATAAGGACTACAGGCCATGGATTTGTTTTGTGACCTTTAGTGAAGGTTTTTGTTTGAATTAAGGCAATAAATGCCTCCATATTTCACCACAGATTAACTCTTACTGTCATATCTTTTGAAATCAAACTGCAGAACACAAAGTAATTTAAAAAGGAATGGTTAGAAAATCAATTCAAATTCAATGCATTTCTTAAAAATTAAATGAAGAGGAAAAAAAAACAGGAGCAGGACTGGAGTGGGAGTGATTCTGACCAGGAGCAGGACAGGACAGGATTAATTTTTTTACTCTGGACCAGGATTGGGACAGGACAGGATTTTTTTCTGTTGGACCAGGACAGGACAGGAGTGAAAATCTACTCCTGTGTCATCCTCTACTTCAGACTGATCTAAGATAAATTATAGAAAGAAGCTTTAATCGATCAAGTTTCCTTTCTTTTAACCAGAGAAGTTCTCATGTGTTTCTCCAGCCTGAAACTAAAACATCAGAGATCTTCTCTGAAGGCCAACAGATGTCCACTGAAGACCAATGGGACGTCCACCAAAAGTCAACAAGACGTCATCCAGAAGCAAACGGGTCATTCTCTAACCACAGGATATCCTCCAACATCCGAAGACCAACAGGATGTCCTCTGAAAGCAGACAGGATGTGCTCTAAAGACCAACGCAAAATCCACTAATGACTGATGGGACATCTTCCTAAAGCCAATGGGAAGTCCTCTTAAATCCAAGAATACATTCTGCGACAACTGAAGACCAACATGACATCTTCTAAAGGCTGACGGGACATCCTTTTAAGGCCAACACGATGTCTTCCAAAGAACAACAGGACGTCCTCTGAAGGTCAACAGGATGTCCTGTGAAAGTTAATGGGACGTCCTCTGTTGTCAGCACTCGTTAAAATCAGGTCTCTCTTGGAAATTAATTCCTGAGGCTCAATGGGATTAACATGTAGAAATAAAGGCTGAATTAATTAATTAATCCCTAATTGCTACCCGGGTGCTTACATAGCTGCCCACTGCTCCACCTGGGTGTATCTCAGTTGTGATGGGTTAAATGCAGATAACTAATTTCAACATTGTATGGAAATATACAATGTTGACAACACATAGCACTTACTATTATTATTATTATTATTATTAATAATGTGATGTCCTATGAAGGACAACAAGGTGTCCTCTGAAGGCCGATGGGACGTCCTATAAAGACCAATGGGACATCCTCTTAAGGCAAATTGATCTTTTCCTTGACACTTTTCATGAATCTGTACATAAAGTTAAAAACCATGGCTCAGATGGTTCCAGACCGGTGCCCGTAACGGTACTAAAGGCCATACGTAAACAGACCAAATGTGGGTTGGTCCGTTTGTAATTTTAATTCTGGTTTTAAGAGTCATGCCATGTCTGAGCTCTGAAGCATGAAAACATCATCATCATCAACATCATCATGGTGGCACAGGAAGACCCCCAAGGGCTTCTGTCAATCACTGCTGAATGGGCCGATTGTTGAACTCAGAGTTTCCCTCAAACCATTTTCTTGTTCAGACAAGTTTCTGATTCCGTTGAGATACTCCAAGGAAAACTATATGACTTATGTAAAGCATGAGACATGAAAACTACCTGTGCACACGAACATTCGTTCCAACCAGACCACAGCTTCTCAAAACAGGATTAAAGAAAAAAAAACATCTGATCCTGGACCAATTTTTTTATCTTTAAAATCAGATGAGACATAGAACAATAATCCTAATTTAAGTCTTCTAAATCAGAACATTAAACCATTAGAAATATTTTGTTTCTTTAACCTTTGGACCTAAATAACAAAACCATGTTTCTTCAAACATCTGCTAAGTTCATGGGGGAAAACAAGTGTAGACAATCTTGTTTTTAGTTTTCTACATCGCCTTACAATCTAGCTGTTTTTTTGTTACATTTTTTAATACCATTTTATTTTCACTTGCTATTCTCAATTTGTACGCATCCTTTAATGATTGTTTATTTTTGTCCTTGTTGTCCAATGTTGTCATCACTCTTTGTTAAAACCAGGTCTCTCTTGTAAATTTATGAACCTTTATTTAACCAGGAAAATCTCACTGAGGGGCCGTTTACACGGCGCGTATTTTTAGTGCATCTGCAACTTTCTCTCTGCGGTTCTGCTGATCATTTACACGACACCAGTGGCCCCCCTCTTTGAATCCGGAGGTTTCTGAATCCACCTTCCAAAGTGGAGGTTTTTCGCTGACCCCCCACTGATAATGTTAACATCTCCCGCTGAGGCTTTGTGTTAAACCACATGCGTGCGCACACACGCGCGGACAGACGCTATATTTCTATCAACATGGCGGCGGATACAGTGCTTTCAGAACTACGACTGATGGAATATATTTTACTCTCAGTTAATCTACGTCAGATTCCAGGTGTTGTGACAAACATCTGTGTTGGAAGAGGCACAGTCTGATCCAGTTCTAATGTTGCCGTTTATAGAACGTGGCACGTGCACACGTCGCGCTGCACTTTAACATAAATGTGCTAAATAACAACAGTTTAATAATAATAAATAGTATTTATGTTAAGTGTGAGATATAATGAAGCTCTGAGCTAAATGAAGCTATCTGGACATTATGCAATTCAAATTTAAAATGATGCTAAACGTAAAGCGTGTAGTGAACTCGGCCTCCGACCTCAACCTGTC